AAAGAAAGAAAAAAGCTGAGAAACAGCCTGGGACCCTGGATTGCTCAGACCACCTTAAATCAGCCTCACCGCCCCTGCTACTGTGGAAATTCCTTTCTCCGCGGTGGTTGGCTGGGGGTGCCAGCCAATCCGCTCGCGGTGATCCCACATGGGTCCGTGACGTCACAAGAGAAGATGGCCAATGGAGAGCAGGATACCGGTAACCAATGGCAGAAGGCGATCAGATCGCCTGGGCCAATCAGAAGGCGGCCAGGCGCTCCCAGCGGGGTCTGGCGAGCATGGCTCCCCCTCCCCTCCCGCAGACCCTCGTGGACGCCCGAGGCCGGCTGGATGGGAGGCGGGGTGCGGCGCGATCATTGTCCCCAAACGGAGGCATCCGCTAAGGCTGACGGGTCTCCCCTTAAAAAGAAGAATCTCTGTGCCCACTTAAAACCCCGCTCCCCCATGAACGCAGAAGCTGCGCGTTTGGCCCTATTTTACAGATAGGTAAACAGAGGCACGGAGCAATGAAGTCAGGCTGGACACCCAAGGAAGAAGTAAGACTCCTAACCCGAGCTGAGAGGCTCCTGGGGCGGGCTCACTTTTGTCTCCAGAGAGAGGAGGGATGGGCATACATTGCAGGTGGGGGCTGCTGGAGTCGATACCTCAGTTTCCCCGAGCGCAGACTTCAGAGGAGACTAGCGTTGGGGTTCTGGGGAAAGACTACAAGTCCCAGCAGCGCTCGCGCACCGCGCCGGCTCGCGCTGTCAATCAAAGTAACGTGGGTCCCGCAGTCTGCAACCCGCGCCCCCGCCCGCTCCAGCCTCCTGCCAGCTCCCGCTCCCTCCCCGCCGGCTCCGGGCCCGGGCGCGGTATAATTACAGCCCATCGATCCGACCCGGGCCGGGAAAGCGGCTCCCTCGGGGAGGCCAAGCCTTTGGCTTCCGACACCGCCACCTCGGCCTCCCGCGCCCCCCAGCCGAGCACCTGGGCCACCAGCCAGCTGGGCCCCGGGCTTACGGGTGACCTCTGTGAGCCTCATTCAGTTGTCCCCCCCTCCTTGGCCGTGAGCCCACCCGCACCCCCACCCCGTGGAAAAACCGCGCACACACACACGCACACACACACAGCACACACGGGGTACCCCCTTCCCCCAGCTGAAGACAGGCCCGTTCTCTGGGCCTCAGTTTCCTTACTTGTCAAGATTCATTCATGAAGCCAATTCTCTGGGCTGTTGTACAAGTGAACAGCCAGGGCAAGGCCCTACTGGGGACTCAAAGTGGGGGCTTCCAAATTTGGGAGGAGGGCCAGCCTCCGTGGTGCACACCCGTGATCCCAGCTCTGGGAGGCTAAGGCAGGAGGATCCCAAGTTCCACTTCAGCCTGGGCAACTTATCAAATTATGGAGACCCTGTCTCAAAAAATAAAAAGGCCTGGGGATGGAGCTCAGTGTGAAGGCACTGGGTTCAGTCCCCCATATAGGATTGAGTGGGAGGAGGGAAAGACAGCAGAACCCCACACCCCCCTGTAGTCAGCGCTGGGGCAGAGAGAGGACCAGACCAGGAGGTGGGGATGTGGAAAGCAGGGAGGAATGAGATGGCTGTTTGGGAAGGTGGAAACGGGTCCTCGACATTGGATGGTGGTGGGTGCTTAATCTAGGGTTTTGCAGAGTGCTTAGGAGTTGCCGAATTTGAGGGCTGCATTTAACTCCCCCCTCACATAAAGCAGGCAGGGGAAAGATCGGGCAGCCTCCGTGAAGCAGGGAAGTGGACAGCCTTGGGTGGCAGAGCCTTTCTGGCTCCCTTGGTCCTAAATTCACAATGGGCCCAGGGTCAGGCTTTTCACAGCCCCACGTGGTGGCGCATGCCTGTCATCCCAGCACGCCGGAGGCTGCAGCAGGAAAGTCTGTCGGGCAGGAGTTTGAGGCCCACCTGTGAGATCCTGTCTCAAATAAACAAACCAAAAAAGAAAAGAAAAGAAAGAAAAAAGAATTGGTATCAGAATCTTTACAGAAGTTGAAGAGAGTCATTTGTTCCCCGATCCTGTCCCAACGGGCCCTTTTCTTCCATTTCAACCTCACACTCCACAGCTGGGCTGCATCTTCTCCCTTCCTCCTCAGTCTCTGATCACCCACTGAAATGTGGATCAGCTCTCACCTCTCCCCCAGCTCAAGAACCTTCCATAGCTCCCCATTCCCCTCACAATAAAATCCAGGCTCCCTGCCTCTGTCTGAGTCATCTGAGCCCCATACCTTCCAAAATGCCAACCAGGGGCTCCTCAGGGCCTTTGCACTTGCTGTCACCTCTGCTCACACCATGGCCAGCTGTCTTGTACACTTCCAGTGCAGGATCAGACTTCACCCTGCTATAGGTTTGCTGATGTCTTTCTGGTCTGCTCGGGCCCAAACCTGGGACATTCTGCATGTGGCAATGAAGGGTCTCTCTTGCCAAGTTGCCCAGGCTGGCCTTGAACTTGTGATCCTCCTGCTTCACCCTCCTAAGTGTTGTGCTTTCTGCAGGTTTTATCAGAAAACACCTCCTTGTCACAAAGGCTGTTCCAGAGCTTCTGCCTCAGGCTCCCCTCCAACCTGGCCACCTGTGGCCCCTCAAAACCCCAAAACATCTTGGTAGCTATATACATCCAGACAGTACCTCCCCTGCTCAAGCACCTTCCATGGCTCTGAGTGCCCCAGCTCCCCAGGGCCCTGGCAGGATTCCACGCTGGCCCACATCACCTATCTTGCTGGCTCTGCCATGTTCTCTTCCAAGTCCCTTGGCACCTGCTCGATGTGGGGCATCCGAGGTAGCAATGCCGGGAAGATACAGGGCGAAGGAGAAGGGGGCAAGGCCCTCAGTGGGGACCAAGCTGGGTCCTGGCACGGGGGGAGGAGGCCAGGAGGGGCCAGAAGGAAGGTGGCCCACAGCGGCGGAGCCTGGCAGCCCAGGAGACCCCCGGCCACCCCCTCTCCCGCCCAGCCTTGCTGGAACCTGCAGCCCCCATCTTCCCAGCCTTCCTGCTCCCCACACTCACTGAGTCTGGAAATTTCTTGATTTCCCCTCATAAACCAAAACCAAGAATCTGAATGTCCTTGCTTTTGAATCCAGATTCCTTGGCTGTATACACTTGGGCAAGTCAGTTGGAGTCTGAGCCTTCTTTCTTTCCCTCTTTTAAATTAATTAATTAATTAATTAAATTTTTTTTGGTACCGGGGATCGAACTTGGGTCCTTGAGCTTGCGCAGCAGGCAGTGAAACCACTGAGCTAAATCCCCGCCCCCAAACTTTCTTTTTCTTTGTTTTTTTTTTGGTACTGGGGATCAAACTCGGGACATTGCGCTTCCAAGGCAGGCAGCAGAACCACTGAGCTAAATCCCCGGCCCTTTGCAGTGGTCTTCTTGCCTCAGCCTCCTGAGTGCTGGGATCACCTGAATGAGCTTCACCTTCTAGCTGAGCTGGGAACCCCAGTCAGGAGCTAGGGTCTGGCCTAGCTCTGGGGCAGGGGTGGGTGAAGGCCCAGGAGTCCCCAAGCTGCAGTCTGGTCCTGGGCACTGAGGACAGCGGAGCAATTGTGTGGATGGGGAAACCGAGGCACAGAAAATGCTGTCTGTCCTGGTCTTCACCGCCCCCCTTCAGATCCCTACTGGGAAGTCCCAGAGGGGCGGGGCCAGGGACTGCCCAGAAGGGGTGGGGTCTTTTTTCTTTTTTTTTTTTTTTTGAGACAGGGTCTTCTTTAGGTCACCAAGTTGCTGGGCTGGGCTTGACCCTGTGTACCTCCTGCCTCAGCCTCTCAGAGTGCTGGGATGACAGGTGGCCTGTGCCATGGGGTCTTGAGAATGGGGTGGTCAGAAAGGGTCGCTCGCTGCCGGTCACCACTGTGCCTTGGGCCCCAAGGCCCGGGCGGGAGCTGAGAGCATCAAGCCCCTCCCCCTCCCCTCCCTCCCCGCCTCATTAGGCGCCAGCGCGGGGCCCATTAGCCGATCAATTAGCCGAGGTCGCCAGCGCCAGGGGCTGAGAGGAGGGGAACCCGCAGCGCCTCCGCCCCCGCCTCCCTGCAGCCCCAGAAACCCATGGGGTTGTGACTTTGCCCACCTGCAGTGTCAGGAGTGGGAGATTCAGCGTGTCCCCCACATTGCCCCCCCCCCACGGCGCTGCGCAGCTGCCCTGGCCTTCATGGGGTGGGGGTATCGAGGGTGGAACCCACGGTCTTCACACTGAGTTTCATCCCAGCCTTTTTTTTTTTTTAGCCTTTTTAAAAATTTTGAGAGGGTCTCTAAGTTGGCCAGGGTGGGCTTGAACTTGAGATCCCCCTGCCTCAGCCTCCTAGAGTGCTGGGGCCCACATGAGCCCACTGCTGTGCCCCAACCACAAGGATAATTTTACCAGCGACCTGGCTGTAGGAGGGCTAGGTGGAGTCATTCTCCCCTTGGGGACAAAGGCCAGCTGTCACTGCCAATGTGTCCAGCTCCCTCAGGCTGGGACGCCACCTGGTAGGGGCTTGTCATCCTGTTCCCCACTTTCTGGGTGGGGAGCCCAAGGTTCCCACCTTGAGCCAAGTCCCACAGTGACCAAGTGGCTGTCACCAGGAAGGGTGGACTGAGGGCTTCCTCAGATGTGACTCAGCTTGAGTGAAGCAATGGGCCCAGATCTGACAGGCTGTTTCCTGGGAAGGGGGAACTGAGGCACAGGCAGGGAGGATCTGTTTCTAAGAACACCATGAGTGGCCGGCCCATTTATTGGCAAAGTGACACCTTGGCCTCTGAGTCCCTTGCCCACACTGCCCAAAACAGATGACTAAGCCAGATACAATGATGCTACTGTGGAGGCTGAGGCAGGAGGATCTGAAGTTCAAGCCCAGCAGGGGGAGCTCAGCACAACCCTGTCTTAGTAACTTTAAAAGGACCTGGGTTGCATCCCCTGCCCAGTCGCCAGGGGCCGAAGAGAAAGGGGGCTTAAAACTTCTGAGGGTGACTGGATGGGAAGCCCTGTCCCCGCCCCCACAACACACAGGCAGGGACGCGGCCACCAACCTTCTCATGTCTTTATTTGAAAGGCACAGCTAGCCCAGCCTCAGTACACACAGCTTCCCACCTTCTCCCGAGATCAGAGACAGAAAAACGGAGCTGACTACAGAGAAACAGCTGGGGGCAGGGGTGCTTAAAAAAATTGTTTTAAATATATCTCCTTTCTTAGAAGACAAGCTATCATTACAGGAAAAAAAACACACCCCGAAATAATAAAATAAAAACCAAGACAGCTTTAGTACCCTCATCTTTATTTGGGAAGGGGAGAAGGAAATCCCTGGGGCGCCGCCCCCACCCCGCTGGTCCTGGCTAGACTCTTTCTTCCTTCAGTACTGGGGATCGAACCCAGGGCCTGTGCACTGAGCTCCACCCCCAGCCCCTTTCTGCAGTTTTTGAGACTCGGTCTCGCTTAAGTCACTAGGTTACCCAGGTTGGGCTGGAACTTGATACCCTCCTGCCTCAGCCGCCCAGAGGGGTGGGAGGACAGGTGTGCGCCACCACGCCGGGCTTTGACCCCTTCTTCCGTGGGCGAGGGCGGAGGACTGGGTGGGTTTGGGGGCGACTCCGGCTACTGGAGCAGGTGGGGGAAGAAGTGGTCCCAGGGCGGGGGCAGTCAGGTCGCCCAGGCGGGGAAGGGGCTGGTAGCATTGAGTACATGCAGTGCCGGGGCGCTGTAGCTGTGTCCGCAGGCCAGGCGTGAGGACAGACGTCAGCGACTGTGCAGATGGGGGCGGGGTGCCGGGGTCCCGGAGGTTTGCTCTGCTCCCCGCGGGCGGGATCCGGTGCCCTGCCACCCGCCACCCCTCAGGCGGGAAGAAAGTGGGGGGGGGCGGGGGGATGGCTGGGGGCGGGAGAAAACCTAGGGGTGGCTAGCAAGCAGCTGGCGGCGGCAGTGGCCATAAATACTACCAGTGTCGCCAATCCGGAGCTAAGCTGTCTGGTGATCTGCGTTCCTGTCTCTCTGTGCCTCAGTTTCCCCTCCCCGCCCTCCCCGTCCCCGGCCGCCGCAGCCGCCGCTAATCGGACTTCTCGCCGTCGTCCTCCTGGTGGGTGTCGCCGTCGTGCCCGTTCTTGTCTTCCTTGGACAGGTGGGCCTGGGAGCCCAGTGCCGACAGCGACAGCAGCCCGGTGCCCGCACTCACGGCCGGCAGCGACGGCGGCTGCAGCCCCACGGGCAGGGGCGTCAAGGGCAGCGCCAGGGCCTGCAGCTGCGACAGCTGGTGAGCCTGAAGCTGCTGCTGCGGGGCATAGGAAGAGGTGGGTCACGGCCCCGCCCAGCCCTCCGCCCTGGGGGCCCCGCCCACCGCGGCCAGGCACCTACCCGGATGATGGAATTCAGCTCGGGCGCCGTGACCTGCTTGGCCCTCTCGATGGCCCCCAGGACCTGCTGCTGGTGCTGGCGACAAAGAGGGGTCAGGGCTTGTGACCCCGTCCTCGCCAGGATGGGACAAGGGGAGGAAAGGAAGCCCCACCCCATCAACGTCCCTCCATTCCCCTGCAGTAGCTTTAGTGTCCCTCAATCCTGCCACTTCCCAAGCAACAGTCTCTGCATCGGGCAAAATGGGGACAAGTGGGAAGCCCTGAAAACTCCAAGAGATTGGTGCCAGGTAACTTAGGAAAAGGCCTTTGAAGTATATGAGAGGAACCTGGGTCATGATCAAAGCCATGTGCACAGCAGTAAAAGATTAAGTCTTTGTGCAGTGCCCAACCTATCCAACAGTACCGGGAAGTCCCCCCCCCCCGCCGAGCTAGAACTGCAGCACTTTTAATTTACTTTTATTTTGAGACAAGGTCTTGCTAGCTTGCCTAGGGTGGGCTCAAAATCATGATCCTCCTGCCTCAGCCTCCTGAGTAGCTGGGATGACAGGTATGTGCCACCCTGCCTGCCCTGCTTGTTCAGGGAAGCCCTGGCCCTGAGAGCTGAGAGACTCTGCTTTGAGATCTCCCAATCTAAACCCCTCTCCTTCCACAGCTGGGGAGGGCTCCTAGATATGAATCTAGGTTCAGGGTATCTCCTCCCACAGTCCTGCTTGGAAGCTTGTCTCTCCTGCCAAGGGTTACCACTGTGATCCACCAATTTCCCTTTTTGCCTTGCCTACCAGAGAGCCTCTGCTATGAAAGGAAAGGTCTGGTCTAGATGTGAAGGGCTCCGAGTACCCTCTACTGTCTGGAGCTGTTCCTGTGTCCTTCTAGAACTGACCCTGGGCAATCCCAGAGATGGGGCAGGGCTGGGAGAGGAAACAAAGAGCCGCACAGTGGCAGATGACTGATCCCAGCTACTATGAAAGCTGAGGCAGGAGGATCTCAAGTTCAAGACCAACCTGGGCAACTTAGCACAACCTTGTCTAAAAATAAAAAATAAAAAGGGCCTGGGATGTAGCTCAGTACAGAAGCCTGGGGTCCAATCCCCAGTGCCGGGGTTCTAAGGGAAACTTGGTGCCATCTGGTGGTGGTGATTCCTGCGGGCCTCTCCAGCCCGGCTTCCTCCAGGGCTCAGGGACAGGAAGTTCAAGGGAGCCCCAGTGCTCACCTCCTGGGAGAGGTAGGGCAGGACCTGGGCACAGATGCCGTTCAGCCTCTTGACGATCTCCGCCTGCAGAGAGTGACAGTCAGGGACCCGAGGGGCTGAGGGCGGGGCGAGGGCAGGTGGCTCTGGTGTCCTCTTGTTAGCCAGGTCAGCAAAGAGGGCAAAACTCCAAGGCCAGAGGAGTCACCTGGCCCACAGGTAAAATGTCACCCTCCCTGGGTCACCAAGGATAGCAGTGTGGGAGGAAACTCTCCACCCTTCCAGCTCCTGGAGAAAAAACTCCCAGGGCAGCCTGAAAAACAAGGGGGTTTGGGTAGCAGAATACAGTGGCTCCTCACTGCCATCCCCAAGCACTGTGGGTGGGTGAGGCAGGAAGAGCTCAAGTTCAAGGCCAGCCTCGGGAGCTACTGAGACCCCGTCTCAAAATGAAAAATGTAAAGGCCAGGATAGAGCTCAGTGCAAAGGCCCTGGGTTCCACCCCCAGGGCTGCGAAAGATTAAAAAGGAAGGGGGGGGCGGCTGGGAAGGGCTCAACTGGTGGGGCGCAGGGGCAGGGCCGAGGGGGAGAGGGCGCAGGGGGGCCCACCTGCTTGTGCATCTCGATGTTCAGGCCATAGGACATCTCGTAGTACTATGAGGGGGAGAGAGGAGAGATGGGCGGGAACAGGGCCTCAGGATGGAGACAAAGACAAAGGCATGGCCGGCAGCAGGTGGGGGACAGACAGGCCGGGCAGCCCGGCCCAGGTTGGAGCAGGAACCTGGCCGGCTGCCCCTCCCCCACGCATTCCAGGCCTCAATCTTTTATCTTTCCACCTCCTGTCTGCGGGTGGCCCAGACTCCAGGGGAGGAGGCCTCCTCATATAAATAATCCAGGATAAACAAAGCCTGCTGGGTCTGCTTCTGGGGCTTGGGCAATCCTCTTTTGTCAAGCCCCAGATCTGACCGGGGCCCTCCTCTTCACTAAACCCTCCCTTGGCGACCTATTGCTCCTGGGGGGAGAAAGCTAAATTTGTGGGTTCAGCTGGTGTTTAATTTTCCCATCTCTGTCCAGCGGGCTCCTACACATTCTTCAAGGCCCCAGCCAACATGTCCCATGCAGCAGGCTTTATTCAATGCCCTCCCAGCGCCTGGCCCCGCCTTTCCCGAAGCCTGGGAGGGATCTGAGACCCTGGCCCTGCTAGGCTGGTGACTACAGGGGTGGGGGTTTGAGGGGGTGTGTTCTGGCAGTGTGGACAGACAGGGTTGGATCAGCTTGCCGGGAGAACACAGGCTCACAGAGTGGTGGCAGCAGTGCCTGGCCCGGGCACAGAGGGGTTAATGGTGTGCGGAGGGGGCGGAGGGACAGATGCCCGCGTCAGTTCCTGGTGCTGCCTCCTGCGGCCAGCCGCTGCCAACGACAGCGGGACCTGGGGGCCGTGCGGTTTGGCGCCTGGGCCACCAGCAGGCAGGCAGTTGGGGGTCCTCGGCCACCCTGGGGTGGGGACCTTACCATGACATAGTGGCGCTGCATCTCCGACTTCTCGCTGGCCAGCTTGTCACACTCCAGCTTCAGACTGAGGACAGAGGGACAGAGGCACTGGGTGGCTGAGGCCCTGGCCGAGGTCCCCCTGCGTCCTCAGCAAGGGCATGACCCACTGCAGGCTGCCACATGGGTAGGGGCTGAACTGATGGCCACAGTGGGTTCTCTGTGGCGGGGCGGGAGCCTCAGTTTCCCTAACTGTAGAGTGGGGGATTACGCGAAGCCGCCTTTGCAGATCGCACTGGTGGTAGGGAGGCTGAAGCGGGAGGATCTCAAGTTGGAGTCTAGGCTAGGCAACATTAGTGAGGTTCTGTCTCAAAATAAAAAAAAAAACATAGGGCTGGGGATTTAGCTTAGTGGTTTCACAGGCGCAAGGACCCCAGTTCGATCCCCGGTACCAAAAAAACCTCCAAAAAAACATAAAAGGCCTGGGGATGTCGCTCCGTGTGAAGGCCCTGGTTTCAGACCCCAGTACGGCAAAAAAATAAAAACAAAAAAAGTGAAGAGCAAAGACTCTCAGAGACTTGATGATTATCAAGTCGCTCCCACTTTCCATGTGTGCAGTGGACACCAGAGAGGGTGAGGAACGGTCTCAAGGTCACACAGCAACAAGCAGCCTGGCTCCCAGAGCTGAGGCACAGGAACCACCAGGTACAGCTCAGGGGTGGGCGCCTGGCTCAAGGTGTCTACGCTCCCTGGGGCGGAGGCAGCAGGAGCCACAGTGAAGACAGTTTGGGGGTGCTTTTCAGAGGGCCCTGGCAGTGGGCATTCGAGCCTTTGTCCTTCAGGCCAGGCATGGTGGCGCGTGCCTGTCATCCTCACTCTGGGAGGCTGAGGCAGGAGGATCCCCAAGTTCCAGCCCAGCCTGGGCAACTTAGTGATGTAGGGAGACCCTGTCTCAAAATAAAATGAAACAAAAACAGCTGGAGTGGAGCTCAGTGTAAAGGCCCCGGGTTCACCTCAGTTCCACCTAAAGAAGAATAAAAGCCTTTGTCCTTCAACTTTCTACTGTATCACACAGGAGTCTCCATCTGTACCATCTGGGCTCACAACTCCCTTGCTGTCTTTTCTTCCTTGTGGTTCCAAGGATCGAACCCAGGGTTTTGGCACCGAGCTAATCCCCAGCCCTATTTTATTTTTATTTTTAGACAGGGTATTGCTAAATTGCTAAGTAGTCCAGACTGGGCTTGAACATGGGAATCCTCCTGCCTCAGCCTCCCAGAATGCTGAGATTAGAGTGTGCCACCATACCTGTCTCCCCAATTCCTGCCATTTCTTTGTGTGTTTGTTTGAGACATAGACCCTGTAGCCCAGGCTGCCCTTGAACCCACAGCAACCCTCTTGCCTCAGCCGCCCCAGTGCTGGGATGTCAGGAGTTTGCCAACAGCCCTTGGCCCCATTTCTATGCTGTGTGACCCTAGAGAGGCTCCTCAACCTCTCTGGGCCCCAGTTTTCCTCCTGTTAAGTACCAGCCTCCCAGAGTAGGTGGTGAGGATTAGTTAAATGAACTGGGGATGAGAAAAGTTCTGAAATAGTGCTTCACAAACCAAAAAGAAATAAAAAATGCCAGGTGTGGGGGTGCATGTCTATAATCCCAGAACTTGGGAGGCTGAGGCAGGAGGACACTGTGAGTTTGAGCCCAACTTGCACTCCAAAGTGAGACCCTGACTCAAAACACTGAAAACAGATGAACAAACAAACAGTGCCTCACATACAGTAAGTGCTCCATAAATGCTCCTGCGTCTGTCTGTACCCCAGGAACCTGTTGTTTCTCCCTGCCTCGGCTTCCCAGAGTGCTGGGATTACAGGCCACCAGGCCTGGCTTGAAAATAGAACATTTTAAAAAAATTAAAAAGGGTGCATTTGTTGGTGCCATTAAAAAAGGAAAAGCAGGAAGCTAGAGTGGTTGTGTTCTCCCAGCCTGTCATCCCAGCGATTCAGGAGGCTCAGGCAGAAGGATGCTGAGTATGAGGCCAGCCTGAGCAATTTATCAAGACCCCTTCTCGGAATAAAAAAGGACAGGGGTGGAGCTCAGGGGTGGAGAGCTGGCACCTTCACCCCCGAGTCCTGGGTTTCTGGCCTATTAATTTCTAGCCAGACCAGAGTGTAGTCCCGAGTGCCTCCCCAACATTCAGGGTGCATCCTCATTCTCTGCACAGCGAGAAGCCCCAAGTCAGTAGATGCAGACTCCAAAGCTCAGAGAGGGTGTCCGGCCGCTGGGAGGTCACAAGGCCCAGTGGCACAATCTGACCCTTGGCTTCTGGAGTCAGTCAGCCCCACGGCTCAATGGGAGGCGGCAGGGGCCGGCGAGCCTGGCAGCCAGAGCTCCTAATCTGCACACCAAGGAGCAGAAGCAAGCAGTGCCTGTTTTCTCCTTTTTAAAATGGGCACAAATCGGGCCGGGGATTTAGCTCAGTGGTTCTGGAGCCTGCCTCACAAGTGCAAGACTCCAAGTTTGATCCCCGGTACCAAAAAATAAATAAAAAATAAAATAAAATGGGCACAAATGCCAGACTTGGTGGTGTATGCCTATAATCCCAGCACTCAGGAGGCTGAGGCAGGAGGATCTCTGAGAGTTCAAGGCCAGCGTGAGTTACATAGCAAGACCCTGTCTCAACCCCCCCCCCCAAGGCCACAACAATAAGGCTACGGACCAAGAGTGGTGGCACATGCCTGTCACCCTAGCTACTCAGGAGGCTGAGGCAGGAGAATTCAAGTTTGAACCCAGCTCCCTGAACAACTAACTCAGTAACTTAACAAGACCCTGTCTGAAAAGAACAAGTCATAAAAGCTGGTGTGCAGCTCAGTGGTGCATGGGAGGGGCCCTGGGTTCATCCCCAGAACTGGGAAAAAAAAAAAAAATTAAAAGGAGGCTACCAGGAGGATGTATGTTCAATCCTCAGCCCTAGAAATGACCCAAAGGTTAGATGTTTGTACGAGAAAGAAACTGCTACTCGTCTTTCTTCTTAGCAAAAAGCCAGGACCCTCCGAGAACACTTGAGGTGCCTGTGTAAACCTGGTCCACGGGGCCTGAAACCACACAGATTAGTGGCCTTGGACCCCACAGTGGTCGCCCGGATCTCCAGGCGATTCCAATCTCACTCTGCTGCCCTCTGCTGTGCATCCCATGGCAAATCCTAACCTCTCTGGGCTGAAGGATCGTATTGGCCTCTGCCCCTGAACCTGCACACCGAAAGCCCTTTACAGACGGGCAAGAGCTGGGCAGGGGATGCCCCCGGTGCAGACTTTTTTTTTCCAGGCAGTGAGAAGGGGGTGGGTCCTTGCCCTGACCCCAGTCCTTGGAAGGGTTTTCCACCCTGGACCCTGGGAGGGGGTTCTGAGATCTCCTAAACTGGGTCTCTGAGCAAATTCACATTGCTATGCCTCGATTTCCTTGTCTGCGAAATGGGGCTGTGCACCAAGCCGCTCCCTGTGGTGTCCGAGCGCGTGCACCGAGAGGAGGGTCCCCGCTCACCTGTGGTACTGGGCCTGCAGGAGCTGGAACTCGTCTTTGATGCGGTCGCAAGAGTCCGAGGTGGTGAATTTGAGCTGCTGGGGGAGGTGCGAGGAGCCCTGTGCGTGGGGAGGGGGAGGCCCGGGTCACGCACCGCCCTCCTCGCTGGGTCCGCCCCGTACAGCTGCGGCGCCCCCCCCACCCGCCGGCGCCCCACTTCCTGGGCCCTGTTTACAGCCCCCCCCCCGCCCCACTTCCTGCCCCCGCCTCTCCAGGAACCCAGGGTGGGGGCGGCGCGCAGGGCCCCTCCTCCGTCGCGCCCCCCCCAGGCCTTGGGGTGCGCTTTAAGGCCGCCTTGGGCGTGGGGGGGACAGGGTGCGCCCTCTATCGAAGCGCCTGGGGCGCATATGCCAGCGCCCTAATTACCTCTGGTGAGGGTCAGGAGAGCCCCCGCCCCAACTTGGGGGAGAATCGAGGCCACCCCGCAAAGTCCCCTTGGAGAAGGGGCCTAGCTCTGCACCCGAAATTTCCCGGCGGGGGGGAAAGCCCACTCAAAATTTCTGCACCCTTCTTTCTTCCGGGAGGGGTGCACCTCGGATCGGCCCCCCATCCCGCTACTGCAGGGCCCCACAGCAGCCTCGCGCCGGAGGTGCCTGGAGGGGTGCCCGGAGCGCCCCAGGCCCGCGGCCAAGGCCGCCTGAGGCTCGGCCCCACTCGGTGGGGGGCGCCCGGCGGCAGCTCGGGAGGCGCTGGCTCCGGAAGCTGAGGGGGGCACTAGGAACGGGGGGGGGTGTCCGGGAGCTGGAAATGGAGGTGGGGGGGTGCGCTGGGCCCAGAGCTGTAGGAGACCGGGATTGAGAGTTGGGGGGAGCCGCTGGGGTGGGAGGCCTGGGCCGCGGGGACCTGGGTGGGTGCAGGGCCGGCTGCGGGGTGGTGGGGATCAGCTCGCAGGACTCGGAGCTGGGGGCGCAGAGCCTGGAACTTGGGGGGTGCGGGATCCGGAGCTGGGGCGCAAGGCCTGGAGCTGGGGGGCCGCAGGGCCTGGAGCTGGGGGGGGGCAGGGCCTGGAGCTGGGGGGGGCGCCGGGCCTGGTGTTGGAGAGGCGCAGGGCCTGGAGCTGTAGAGTCCGGAGTTGGGGGGGCGCGGGGCCGGCAGCTGTGGGAGTCAGGGCGCACAGGCGGGGGCTAGGGCGGAGTGGGGCCAAGGCCGGGATCGGGGGGAGCAGGATCCGGGGCTCAGAGCGCGCGAGGGGTGCGGGGCGCAGGGCCGGGGATCAGACCCGGCCCCGAGGAGGGGTCCCGGGCCAGGGCCCCGCTTACCGAATGCCTGCTTTGTGGAAACATCATGTCAGTCGCGGCGGGGGGCGCGGGTTGCGCCCCGGCTGCGCGCCCCGGCTCGGGCTGCTCGGGGCGCCGGGCGGCCGCG